CTTTCCATGAGTATTGATTGTGGAGCCAAACCAAATGAAATCCTTGACAACACTGATCTTTTCTCCATTTATCATGATGTTGTCTACTGGTCCACTTATGAAGATTTTGGTTTTCTTTACACAGAATTATAATCCACTTGAGTAGATTTTAGCACCTGTGGTTAGGTTGGACTGTAACATCTTGTCATTTGATCCGCCCTCTGACCCATTTATTCTAGTTTTGAAATATTTTCTGCATTCTTATTATTAGGGTTTTCTCTGGCCAATACTGTTGGAACCTTTGTTGGTTTTTCACTTTTTTTTTTTTTTTGTATATTTCTGTTCGGGCAAGTCAGAATAAGTGGACCAAGGAAGTAACTAGTAATTATCTGGAGGCACTGGAAGGGGTGGGTGGGGAAAATGGGGAATCAACAGCAATGGATACAAGAAGGAAGACAAGGTTTCAAAGTTGTTTGTGGTGATGAATTAGCAACCCTTCTTAATATGGTTGAAATATTGAATTGCATGGTATGCTGATAATATATCAATAAAGCCATTTAAAAAAAAACGGTGGATGAGGACTTAAAGGGGAATGAATTGGATGAAATCCCAGAGAAGTAAAAGATATCAACCAGCAGACACTGATATACACAAAGAAGCAAAAAGACAGTAAAGTGAACCCGATCAAGGACTAAAGAACATTCCATGCTCCATAGGGGAAAAAACATGCTGTTTTCCCTCTTTGGGGCTCCTGATAATCTTGGTCTTCAGGGGTTGGCAGGTGGCTACTTCTGCTTCTGTCTCTCCCCTTTCCTGGCTCTCCTGATCCCACACTCTCCTAATTAGAGATTTTCTTTAGTCTGATGCTATTGCCTCCTATTTTCATTATGCCTATATGACTTTGACTTTCTACCTCCTGATCATTTTCTCTCAGCTGTTTTATTTTTGTTTGTTTGTTTCCGTTTGGGCAAGGCAGAGGCAAACAACCAAGAAACCCAACTGCCCATGTCTATAAAAAGATGGACTGCAAAGAGCCTCTAAATAGGTTTGAGTTGTTATCCACCATGTTAGTTTACAACTTTGTATTTGGACAGAGAACCCAAAAGGGAAGAAGGTCAATAGTATCCTAAAAGCACCCCACACAGGTGTGAAGTAAAACCCACCCTGGATTACAACTAAAATACAGGCATACCTCATTGTATTGCACTTGGCGTTTGGGGGCTGCGCAGGTACTGCTTTTTTTTAAGCATATTAAAAATTTGAGGCAACCCTGTGTGAAGCAAGTCTGTCAAGCACCATTTTCCCAGCAGCATGAGCTCACGTCATGTGTTACATTTTGGCCATTCTCAAAAAATGTCATACGTTTAAATCATGCAAATACACCCTTAATAGACCACACATTTAATATACCACAAGATAGTGTAAACATTACTGTTATATGCACCGGGAAACTTAAAAATATACGTGACTCACTTTATTGAGGTATTTCCTTAATTGTGGTGATCTGGGACCAAACCCACCATCCCAGGTATGCCTGTAAAGCTCTCATTATCAAGAGGACCAAGGTATTTACCGTAAGTGGAGCCTGAAGTACAGCCTTCACCAGAGAGACATCATTGTAAAGAGCAGGAGAAAATACCTGAAAAACAGATTTAAATAGTTTCAATAATTTTAAAAGCCTATGAGAGAATGGTATAGTGAAGTCGTGTGCAAAACTTGCTAGGAATGAATCTCAGAGACAATATTAAATTACACACACACACACACACACACACACACACGGAATGTGAAGTAAAGAACTTATACAAAGTTACTTGACCTTTGCCTTTGGTCCAGGGGCAGCTCCTGAATAACTGAGGGGACTTTATTCTTTAAGGTCTCCAGTGAACACCTGAGGGTTTGGGCAAAGGTGGGGTGGGTAACCAGGCCACAAAGACCACTTGGTGACCTGATACCAGCTGATGGCATGGTGGGGAGTCGTGATTCCATATCAAGGCTACACAATGAGGCTCCAAAAAAGGCTCTGGATACAGACATTCTAGGGTCTTCCTGGTTGATGAATGACATCCATGTGTGTGGAAGGGTAACAGGTTCTTTATCGGGACACAGAAGCTCTACATCAAGGACCCTCCTAGACCTTGCCTTATATTCATTGATATCCTTTGGGTTGTAATGAAACTATAATTGCTAAATATAGCACTGTTCTGAGTTCTTAGTTGTTCCAGTCAATTATCAAACCTGAGTAGTCGGAGTAGAAGTGGGAGGGGGCAGGTGAGACGCAAGGGGACTGGAACCCCTGAGCCAGCTGGTGACCTGAAGGGTAAGGGGCAAACCCTGAGCTTTATCATCTGGAGGTCAGAAGCGTGGGTGTCATATGTACAACTAAGCTTGTGGCTGGTGTCTGTGGTCTTGGGCAACTTAGTAGTCTAGAGGACTGTGCCTGGAACTTGTGAGGTCTGACCTCACTCCAGGTGGTTAGGGTCTGAGAAAGAAGTGCTACCTAGGCAGCTGGTGTCAGAAGTGGAACAGAAGTGAAAGGTGGGAGTTTCTTATATTTAAACTCACCTCTTCTTATTTGTTTCCAGCACAGTGAACCTTCTTGCACCTTTCAAAGACCATGCAGTGGCTTTTTATTACCTTCCACAAATGCTTGAAGTTCCTGCAACAGATTAAACCCATTTTAAAGATGGAAAAGCCAGGGCGTAGAAAGATTCAAGGCAAAAGCTCAGCTATCCTGAGGCAGCTGGGTTCTGCTTTCACTGCAAGGTTTATTATAACCAACAATAGCAATATGAAAATAATTCATATCCTACTCTTATGAGCGCTTGGTGTAGTGGGATTGGGAAAGAGCATTTTGTAAGAAGCAATTATTAGAAGATGTTTATAAACTAAACATAAATGCTTTAATATATTAGATTATTTACAATTTTAAAGCTTCTGTTTTAATTAATTAATTCATTAAATGCTTATAATGTGGTGTTTGTTTGTTTTTTACTAAAGTGAATTTATACCAGGAAAACCTTGGAGCTCTGATTGCTGCCAAACTTAGGCTTCTGTGTTTAGGGAGAAAGGATCTCTCATGAAGTAGGAAAACTAGAGGGCACCTTCATTAATCATCCTATGTATGCATGGGTTTTCCCTACACTAAACTTGCTTATATAGGAAAGAAGCTACTCTTTTCATTCTGGTTGACTACTATTAAATGTCTAAAGAAAGGTACAAAAGGCAGCAATCAAATATACTTGAGATACAGTATTTTTCATTAGACTGGGACTAGGAATGATGGTGTATCTTCTTGAAGCAGGTCACAGGTTTTTTGGCAACTCAGGAAACTAAGAGCAAGCTGACAGGAACAAATCTGAAGCTTGAAAAATTAACCATGAAACTTGGGTTTTTGCCAGTCTTACTTCTTACTCCTTAAATCCAAGTAATCTCCTTATTTTCATGTTTTCTAGGCAAAATTCATTGAGCAGCTTATTGATAGGTATTCATTGACTCACTCATTCAATAAATATTTACTGAATCCTTTCTATGTGTAAGACACTTCCATACAATGGAACAAGAAGGGTATGGTTTATTCTGGCATTATTTTTTTAAAGTCTTAATTCTATTTTGGCAAAGGAGAAAAAGCAGAAATAGTACATAAAATAATTATTACTGGATGTTTAAATACATTGTGTATGATAAAAGCATCGATAGATTTAAATACAAAGGGGCTTCACAAATTTCATGGAAAAATGGAATGAAAAGATAGCAGCTTTTTTTTCCATGACCTTTTTGAAGCCCCCTTGTATCTGCCCAAAAGCTGACTGCCACGTACTTGCTCTGTAACAATCAAGTTCTTTGGTTGTAAAATGGGAATAAGAACATCTACCTCAAAGGAGCAATGTGAATATTGAAAATTATTTATGAAAAGAGACTAGCATAAATCTCAACACATTTTAAGTGCTCAATAAATAGTTATCATGATCATCAATAACTCACTTGCTATAAGAAAAATTCCACTTTTATAAGTGTTTTGGTGAACACAGGCACTGAGAATATATTGTTCTACTACAGATCAGTCAAATGATAGTTTTAGCGTGAAGGTTTCAGGCATTTCATATGGAACAGAAATATGGAAGGCAAATGAGGCATCAGAACTGTTCCACAATTTAATAAGGGTGCATGGATATAAAAAGGTTAAAAAACCAAATGGTTCACATGGAGAATGTAAAGATGAACCCCCAAATCTCCTTTACGTTACGATTAGCCATCAATTATTAATTTACGTTCCTACAGCCCCACTGTAGCCCATACTAATTAACCTCTGTTTCTTTCAGTTCATCTTTCTGAAGTAAAGTTTTCAGCTTAGACCATTTCAACATTTTCTACATGATGTTTATTACGCAACTGATATGACCAAGTCATTCTAATATTTGCATATCATGGCCTAGTTTTGTCTATTTACGTTTTGAATTTTGCATTAATTTTATTCATTTTTGCAAAGGATTCAAGATCCAAGCAGTTCAATTTTGCACAATTAGCCAATGTTGAGGTAAATTTGTTTAAAAAAAACACTGTAATTTGACTCTTCTTTAATACTGTAAAAGTTGCACATGAAAAGAATTGTATTATACATTATTTAAAGGAGATATATTCTGTGGGTATAAAAAAGTTTTGCCGCTCTGATTCCGGAATTATGATTTAAACAGCGCATCGCGCCCTCTACACGAAGTTAACATGGCCCCTGGGGCAAAAAGGAAGACCTAACTTTTCAAAGCATTGACCAGACAGTAGGCTGGTCAATTACCCATAATATATTGTATTGCTTGCAAATACAAATCTCAAGTCTGCTTTGATAGACCCTATTTCTCAGCGAGGGATAAGCTGGGTCCCCCCTCCCCCTCCCCAGTGCGGAGGGATTCATGGGCTGTTTTAGACCTTCCCCGCATCCGTAATCTCCACCTGCGCAACTGGCCGCGGAACCTAGTTCCTTCCTCTCGCGGAGCTGTAAGAGATCCGGCAAAGGGAACGCCAGAACCGCCTGGAACGCTGGAGCGAGAGGACGCTCTCCAGGGCGCTCCTCCAGAGCGTGAGTACACCTCCTGGTCCCATTTGCCCTAGTCTGGTTTAAGAAGGCATTTAAAGCCAGAAAGTGGAGCTGGGAGGGGAATGCGTGGCAAAAAAAAAAAATCTGAGGAAAAAATAGGAAAAAAGCCAAGTTGCTTCCAGGAATCTGAGGCAAGTCACGAAGGAGTGATTTTGCCCGCGCAGCCTTGACGGGCGGCTTTCCGGGCCCCCGGAACTTTGGCGGTCGAGTTTCTGGGGAAAGGTTTGCTTGACTCTGGGGATGCGTGGCCGGGGTGGGTGGTGGCCCCGAGATATGAAGGGCTTGGCGAAGGGGAGCGAACTTTCAGGAGGAACACTTGACGAAGTCCAAGTCCCAGGGGTCCCACTGAGGGGTTCATCGCCGTCTTGGAAGCAGACTGTTTGGCTTTTTTCAGCGG